GGTGGCCCCTGCTCTCTCTTCACGGGCTGTGGCTCCTGGGTAGCCAGGCTGGCACGGTGCCACCTCTGCAGGGGAGCAGGGAGAGAGCGGGCAGGAGAGAGGCCACTGAACCCCGGGTTTGTGAGCGACTGCGCTCATCTACTCAAGGGACGATCACCTCACCATGTGTCAGGAGGCCAGCAGAGACAGCACGTCTCCCTGCGGGAGGGTGCCCATGCCAGGTTTGCACACAGGCACACCCTGTCCCTCACCGGCTCTCAGAACACTGCTCTCATCAAAGCCACCTTGGGGCTCTTGTAAAACGCAGGATCCAGGGCCCAGCCTGGCCCGACTGAGGGCTGGGGCAGGAGCTTAGCACTTTCATTTAGTTCAAGCCCCATGAGCTGTAGGCCAGGCAGGCCTCACCAGGGGTGGCTCTGGAGCCAGGCAGCATGGGTTTAAATCTCCGCTCTGTGACTTGATGTCTCTGAGCGGCCTCAGCTTTCTCATCTGTAAAATGGGAACAATCATCCCTTTGGGGCCCAACTCCATAGCGGCGGCTATTTTTCAATAGTAGAGGGGCAGCCCCCAAAGGAGAAGGCCCCTAGGAGAGGGGGGCTCAAGCACAGGAGCCACTATGAGGCTGATACGAAGCCAGGTAATGGTTCTGTTGTGCAGCCTCAATGGAGCCTAACGACAACATGACAATATTATTTTTCAAAAACCGATCTAGAGCCCTTAGACATGTGCTTGGTGCATTGCCAACCACGGGGCTCGTAGTTTTGATCACTGCCAACCACGCTGGTTCATGGTGGTTCATGGATATTAGGTCAGTCCAGGCAATGTGCTCAAGTCTAACTCTTCCCTTCAGCCTGCGATGGAGGCCCTTGTATTAGTCTCAATTTACGGATGAGGAAACGGAGGCTCGGAGAAGCAGTGTGACTTGCCCAGGGTCACGCCAAGGTGAAAAAACTCAACACAAACTCACTGCCATTGAGCCAGTTCTGCTCCTAGTGACAGAGTAGGACCGCCCCCGGGGGTTTCCAAGACAGTAATGCTTTAGAGGAGTAGAAAGCCTCATCTTCCTCCCACTGGTGGCTTTGAACTGCTGACCTTGTGGTAAGCAGCCCAGTGCACGATCCAGTACACCACCAGGACTCCTTGAGGGTCATATTCCTGGAGAATGAAGGTGCTGGGACAGGACCCCAGTTGGGCTGGGTTCTACGGAGGGGCATTTTGCATCAAATCCCTTTTGGGAATCCGCGGGCCCCTTCGAGCTCATGGGTAGAACTCAGGGTGGAGACTGGGGCGAGGGCTGGGTGTTCCTGTTCTCTCGACCTGAGTGGGCGAGAAGTCTGGCAGCAGGTAACCCAGTGTCACAGGAAGAAGACGCAGAACACTTGCCTGGCCTCTGATCCGGAAAGCGTCCTGCTGGCCCAGGCCCAGGTCTGCTGCCTCCCGGGGGTCCTGAGGAGAGAAAGAGACCAAGAAGGTTAGAAAAGAGGACGTGGCAGCAGCAGGTGCTCACCACGCTCCCCCTTGTTGTCTGGGCCCAGGGGCAATGGGCCAGGTACAGAGGTTGTCAGACCTCGAGGGCAACCCTCACGGAGAACTCGGGGTTCAGGAAGATGTTGGTGGGAGCCCCTGTGCCTCCTCCTCCTCCTCTGTGATGAACAGGGGGCTGGAGAAGGGTCATCTCACAAGCCTTCTGATGATCAACCATGCCATTCACATGAACGCCCACACAGGTAGCGCCATCCCTGCTCACGGATCAGATGATGACGCCTGCTTGTGTTCTGGGTCCATCTTCGCTGGTCCAGTTGGATTTTTCACAACTACACTCCCCAGAGCAAAGGATGGGGATGAGAGAGCATCCTGGTCCACAGGGAGAAAGTCACCGGTTGCTCTCGCCTGTCGGTACTCACTCTTCACAGGGAAAGGCTCATTCGGATGCTACCCGGCTCTGACACCTGTCTAACCTCTGCGGATGGCCTCTCGGAACAAAGAGGGGTAGGAACCTAGGACTCAGCAGGTCTGGGCCCCTGGCGTCTCGTTAGATGTCTTCTTATCATTCCATTCTTTTTATGACTGCCGTCTCTCTCTGACGGCCCTTTCTGGGCCATTCCTATGGGTTTCTTTCAGAAGCAAGTCACGAGTGTGTCCAAAGTAGGTACCGTTCCTGGTTACACACAGCCTGATGGAGTCACACTCTGTGCTGGCCTCGATCTTTGCCATGTTGTCATCAGCGTCTCTGCTCATCCTGCGTCTTCCATCTCACAGGACCCTGCAGGGAACATTTCCCTTTTTCTAAAAAAAATTAAAATACAGTGTCTTTCCATTTGCCTTGAGAGGGAGTGGTGGGCAGCAACTTCTTTCTGAGATGCTTTGTAAAGTGTGCTGATTTGAAGAGCAAGGCCATGGAAGGATGAGGTGCCCATGGCCCCCAGCGAGGACGGGCCAGGCTGGGAAACTCCGGCTGTCTCACTTCCTGCATTTCGGAGGCTAGAAGACACCTCCAAGGCCCGGAGCCCAGAGGACGCATCCCCGGGAGGGTCTTACCAGAGCTTGGGGTTCAGCGGTGGCCACAGCCCTGGTGGCATAGAGGTTACGAGTTGGGCTACTAACTGCAAGGTCAGCAGTTCAAGACTACCAGCTGCTCCTCTGGAGAAAGACATGCTTTTCTACTCCCGTAAAGAGTGGCAGTCTCAGAAACCCACAGGGGCAGCTCTACCCTGTCCCTCAGGGTCATTATGAGTCCGCATCAACTCGAGGGCAGTGAGTTTGGGGTTGGGGGGATCAGCTTTCTAGAAAGTCCAGTGGGCTCTGTAACAAGGCAGGCGACACTGAGGTCACAACGGAGTGAGTGCTTGGGGAGGGGGAGGAGGTTAGAACCTGACCAGCAGGTTCTTGAGAGAAAAGACCTGGAGATTTGCCCTCTAAAACCTTACAGGGCGGATGAACCCCAACTCTACTTCTTAGGCTCCCTGTGAGTTGGAAATGGACCAGCTAGTTCCCGTCAAGTTGGGTCACCGTGAGTCGGATGGCATCGCCTTGGCAGCAGGCAGCCACGTGCCCTGTCTGTGAAACGCGGGTGGGCATGGAGGAAGAGCGGCCAGCCTGCTCCTTAGAAGCAAGGACGGTGACACTGGGTCTCACATACTTTGGGCATGTGATCAGAAGGAACCGGTCCCCGGAGAAGGACATGATGCGTGGTAAAGTAGAGAGGCATGGAACGCAGGGAGCACCTTCGATGAGATGAACTGATACGGGGGCTGCAACAATGGGCTCAAACCTCAGAACCATCGAGAGGATGGGGCAGGACTGGACAGGATGGGGCAGGACTGGACAGGCTGCGGCAGGACTGGACGAGGCTCCTTTCTGGGTGGTGGCTGTGAGCCAATCCCAACTCACGGCATCTAACCTCATGACACCCACCCCTGGAGAGTCGCTGTGAGGGTTAAATGAGCTGATGCACACCGCGGGTTTAACCACGGTACCTGGCTGCCCGTGCTGAGGTTGCGCTGGGCTCTGCAGAGAGGTGGGAGCCGGCTTGGAGGCCTGGACTGAGTTGGCCCGTCTCAAGCCTGGTGGAGAAAGATAGGAAACAGCTCGTTATGGTTTAGGGAGACAGAACCAAGCAGACACACGCGCTGCGTGGGGCCCATCCGACAGGCATTGGACCGACTGCAGCCACACCCTCATTGCTCCCCTCCATAAGCTCTCTGCTCAGCACTCAAGACACCTGGACCGAGCACAGTGGCTCGACACTCAAAGCCCAGGCTTGGAAATACTGCCTCTACCACGTGGCAGCAAACTAAGGCCGTGGGCTCCAGCCCTTCATATAAGACCTGGCACACAGTAGGAGGTCTAGTAGCGCTTGTTCCATGAGCAAGGTGTGAATGAGAGCTGGAGCCCCTGGGCAACAGGTAGTGAGTTCCCCGTTTCAGGGAGCATGAGAGTTCCGCTCAGAGACTTCTGCGTGGTTCCTGATGGTAGGATTCACCCCGGGGGAGTTTGATCAGAAATCGGTTGCCTTCCCCAGCTCCCAGCCTCTCCAGTGGGGATGACAACCAACCAGCAGCAGGGCAGACTTGGTACATGGATGATCTGGGTTCGATGGGTCCTGGTGGTGTAGTGATTACGTGTTGGGCTGCCAACTGCAAGGTCAGCAGTTCAAAGCCACCAGCAGCTCTGCTGGAGGAAAGACGAGGCTTTCCGCTTCCGTCAAGATTTAGTCTTGGAAACCCACAGGGGCCGTTCTGGCCCGCGCTCTAGGGTCACTATGACTCAGAATCAACTCGGTGGCAGTGAGTTTGGTATGGTGATTACTTCTGCTTCGGTAAGTAGGGGATTACACAGTGAGCTGACAACCAGGTCAATAGTTCAAACCCACTAGCTGCTCCCTGGGAGCAAGATGAGGCAGCTGTTGCCTGTCATGATTGACAGTCTAAGAAACCCAAAGAGTCGCCGTTCTACTCTGTCCAGTGGGATCACTCTGAGTTAGAAACGACTGAATAGCAGCGGGTGAGGGTGGCGGGTGCCCCGTCGAAGGCACCCTGGTGACACAACTGGTAAGTGGCTGCTAACTGAAAGGCCGATGGTTCGAGCCCAGTGCTGTGGGAGAGGAACCTGACTATTTGCTTGGGTAAAGTTTGCAGCCTAGAGAAGTCCATGGAACAGTGGGACAGTGTCCTATAGGGCCACTGGGACTCAGAACCACCTGGCCAGCACCCAGCATGCCTCGTCTATCAAATGAGGGTGATCGCAAGAACTCTGCCCCAGAGAGCCGAGGGGAGGGTGATGCCAGGGTGACTCTCAACTTTCAAGAGCCTGTAACCAACCTGGAACCGAATGATAGCAAACGGGGAGAAAGAGCTGAAACTAGGGAAGCCCTCAGTGAGTGTCTGGAGACGCGGTGGATGTGAATGGGGTGAGCAGGAAGGGAGGGTCAGGCTGTCCTGTGTGTCCGACGGGACACGTGCTGTGTTAGTCTGCGGGCCGGTGCTCTGGGAACTCAGAGAAGCCGCTCGCTCAGTCCCGGGTGGAACAGGTGGAGCACCAAGAAGAGGGGGTCAGGAGAGCGAGGCCCCTTTATGGATGCTGTAAAACGGAAGCAGATGAGACAGCAGCAGCAGCGAGCATAGACTTTGGGGTTGGCCACCCGGTGGACTTTGCCCCCCCCCAGTTTAACCCATGCTGGACTGTGTGTTCTCAGGCCCAAGCCTCCGCTCGTCTCTTCATCTGCAGGCCGGGGAGAAGAAGACAAGTCTCGTCTGTGGATTTCGGGGTGGTGGCAAGGATTATAGGAGGCAATGTGTATGGACTGCTTAAAACAGCACCTGGCAGCTGGCAGGCAACAGATAGGTCTTCTGCGAGGTTGGCAAACTGAGAAGTCTGCCTTTCTCGATCCGTCAGCACCCCTGGGTGAATGAGCAGGGTCTGAACAGCAGCTCCAGTGCCGGCTAGGTGCCTGAGTTTTCTCGCCCAGACACCAATGAGGGACCAAAGCATGTACAGTGAACCCTCGTTTATCGCGGTTAATCGGTTCTAGACCCTACCGTGATAAATGAAATTCCGCGAAGTAGGATTCCTTATTCAAGTCGAAATGGTGTGCAACCTCCACGATTTTCTTGCCATCTTTGATCATATCCAAAAGTTTTACCTTTTCCTGGATGGTGAGCATCTTCCTCTGGCGCTTATTTTTATTGTCAGAAGGCTTAGAAGAAGCAGCTCGTTTAGGAGCCATCATAGGGCTTAGATAAAATTTCTTAAAAATCGCAAACAATTACAGTACACTGTACAAAAGCAAAAATGCATCTGATACGTAGCTCCAATACGTAGCGATGCAGACAGAAGCGTGTACAGTATGAGTCAATCAGTGGTAGTAATGACAGAGCATGCGCTGTTACGCAAAAACCGCGATAGAGTGAAGCCACGGAAGTCGAAGCGCGAAGTGGCGAGGGTTCACTGTAGCTCGTCTGCTTCAGGCGCACACTCACCCCATCTCTACAGAAGGGGCACGGCCCCTTTAAGGTCCCCCACAGGGGGTATGAATGACGATGTAACGCCCGTCTCCCAAAGATTGTCCAGAAATTGGGGACTCCCATCAATGGGCACTCTTGCTAAATAAATCCACCAGATGAGAAGCCAGAGTGGTGGGCCACCCTGTGACAGCCCCCGAGGGGGCCACCCTGGCCACCCCATCCACTCCGTGTGCGGGACCCCAGAGGCCCCTTGCGAAGGGAGCGAGCACCTAGTTGGATCTGAGAGTAGCTCATCCTTGCTTTTCTCACAGCCAAAGGGTCGTCCCCCTCTTCCTCCATCCCCTTCCCACCCCGCCCCCCCAGGGACTTCTGGGAAGAAGGGCAAGAAGGTCATGAGTTTTCCTCACACCTGGCAGAATTGTCTCTGAATCCTGCTTCTCCGCTACTGGGGACTAGAATCAGCATGTGGACGCAACACAGCACAGAGGAAGCTCTCAATGAACATGGAATGATTAAACGAACAAACAACAACCTCCTTCTGGTTCTCCTCCTCCGGGAGGCCTGGATTTGCCCACCTCTCTCACCTCCTGGGCTCTGGCTCGCATCACCGGCCGTCCCGCCGTGCCTGTGGTCCCAGCTGTCTGCATCTCGGGCGGCTGAACTCATTCGGACCTCGGAGGCCCTGCGCACGGGAGGTCCGTAGCTTCCCCGGCCAGGGGAGGGGGCCGCATCGGGCCCTGGAAGGAGAAGCATGCGTTGAGTGGGACAAAGGGACGGGAGGGAGGAGGACCCAAGGATCCTGTCCCGAAGCAGAAGGGAGAGTCAGCGGAACCCACCTGCCTTCTGGCCTGGACCCCTCCTGTCTTCAGGGTCATCTGGAGAGAGAACAAAGGGGAGTGTGGGTCTCTGGTGTCGGGGAGCTGTTGCTCAAGCGACCCACAGAGGGGTCCATCTGCCACCGCCAGGACCATTGCTTTTTGAAAAAATCACTTTATGGGGGGCTCGTACAACTCTTGCCACAATCCATCCATCCATTGTGTCAAGCACATTTGTACATATGCTGCCATCGTCATTCTCAAAGCATTTGCTTTCTACTTGAGCCCTTGGTATCAGCTCCTCATTTTTTCCCCTCCCTCCCTG